GTATCTTTGGTTCGAAGAAAAAAATAGGAGGAAAATCAGTCAAAATTGGAGATGTTATATCTCGGGTATTACTTAATGAATTACCTCAATATTTGGTATGTGAAGTAAGAGTCCAGTAGATAATATCCACTGAAAATATGTGATAGTTTGGATTACCACAGTCTAAGATACAGAAGATGGAAAATCGCTAAACTATCACTCCTGTTAATAACACAGTGTGTCCTGCAGGTTGTTTTGGCCGCAAGACACTATTGAGTCTTGATTTACGAATTATACGATTCCTCTACTACAGTTAAAGTATCTAACATCGTAGAAATTTGTCTAAAACAGGCTTATCTTCTTAATATCTTAAATGTACATCTACTCGCAGACTAAAATAGTTCCTCATTTGCGTTGAATTTCTCGAAAGTTTTATTTTCAAATGGAGATACATTGCTAGATGTTTCCTTGAACTTTACATTAGTAATTATAAATGCAAATAAGAGGGAACGAGAGACATTTATCGATAAATAAGTTACAAAATTTACGTTGGCTCGTCCTTCTTACTGGATTAAATAACCGTATTCTAAGCCAGAGTGATGTTACTAACTTTGTCATCTATACGAATTGCATGGTTTCCAAATGAAACTTGAGTCCTTTAACGTACAGCCCCCTCCCAATATTAGTTCCCTTGCTGAAGATTAAATAAAAACTATGGTTTCATTGAGCTGAAAACTGAGCACGCTATTTGAAAAGTAGCTCAACAATAAGTGAGGGCTTACAGCACCAAAACCAGATTTTGATATGCGCAATGGGCAGCGCACAGACAGTCCATTGTATAGCTTTGTGCTTCAACGAAAAATATTTGAAGATAAATGCATACAGTGATGATTAATTTATAGTCACTAAGACAACTGTGGATCATTTTAAAGGCAAAATGTTGTATTAGTGGCTTGCGTATCAGACATGTACCAAACACTAGGTATCTGTTTATGACAAGTCGAACTTGGATGCTGTGTCATAAGAAGACAAACAATTGAAAAAAGTTATTGTTTTGGATTTTTGTCGTCTTGTACGTGCATTTTTACGTTTCCTCCAAAATCCCAATCAGAAGTAAATATAATTACGTTGCGATTAATATTATTATTAGATTCTGCAAACAATTCCCAAGACCCAACAATTGTTCTAAGCTGTCTCTTGCAGTGTAACTATAGTGTTAAGACTACAATTTTCAGTCTACTAGCCTTTACTATTTAAATGGTTAAGACTATTTGACAATCCAAACAAGATGGATTCAAACATTCCTTTATTGTGAACGATATCTCAATTTTGTCCACTCAAGAAGTTCTTTCATCTATTTGCAGTTACTCCTATAAAGTTTAAATGATAAAACAAGTTATTGAATGTTGTGGTAACCTATTGGATATTTAACAATACAATATTTTATCGTAAGACAACTCACACCAATTCATATGTTCACTAGAATTCAACTAACTGTACTGCTCAAGCACCTACCCTAATAGAACCTCGTATTACCAGGATTATTTCTACTGAAAATATTAGACAAGAAACATTAAATACGGATTCATGTAATTTAGAGAAGCATGATCACTTAAAAGTATGGTAAAGTTTTATGTGCGAATTACTCTCATGAGCAGTGGTTTCGTGTTAGACCCATTAACTGCTCTATTCATTTTATTTCGCATGTTATTATGGAAACGTGTGTAAACTTACTGGCATATAATACACAATCACTTAAGTTATATTTCAAGAACTATAACTTGATTTGAGAAATATCACAAGACACCAACATTTGGATGTATCCAAGTTGATTATCTTAAGCTCTCATTTGGGAAAATTTACATCCTACAAAGTTAATCTATTGCTCTCAGAAATTTCTCGTCCCCCCTCCCCTCATATTTAATATAATAAAAAAAATTGCGCTTTTGGGTACTTTGAAGATTTAAATAATTAGTTTTGATAAATAAAGTCAGAGATTACTGTAACCTATATTTATGGTAGTAAATATCCTTAGATATTTTTCAGCTTCATAAATATCAGAAAATATGAACATTCTTCCCAATATGTTAGTTTATGCTTTTATTTTTTTAAAACAATTTTCAATCATTAAATAATTTCCAGTTTAACATTTCGTCCTCTTCATAACCATTACCAACCACCAATACATGTGTAACCACACTTGTTTCATGGCACAAATACCATTTCATTATGAAAGGGTCACTCTTAATTCTCTTATTTTCGTAGCTAAACTGATATAAAATGTACTTGTGTTCACCGTATAGTTTGATACTGGTATTAAACACAATGAGGTAATAAAACATTTCACAGCACAAGTTCTAAAGCTAGGGGTCAGATTATGAAAAATCAGAGCACATTTTCCAAACTGAAAAATTTAAGTTGAGATAAGTGGCTAAACCTAAGTTGCTCAGAAACTTCACCTAAACATATGCTTGAAGCACTTCAGATTAAATTGCATGGTAGATGTTAAGGTTCAGAAAATATTAAAACAGAACTAATATAATTTGCCTATGTAGGCACGTCATAAAAAGACTTAACTGTATTGTTACGACAGCGGAAGTCACGCGATTCTGGAAGCATGCGCGCTGGAGTTTCTCGAAGGATCATGAATTTGCCTGCCAGCTGGGGTGTGATCTAGATGCCCTCTTTTTAGTATATATAATCCTGGCGAGACAAACCAGCATGATTGAAGAGATAGATAGAGTCAAGTGAACAGTAGGCACCGTAAGTGTGTGAATCACTGATTTATAGCATGTGTTATAAAAGTTGTCAAGAGTGATGAGGTATGTACTCACTGTGAAATTACCGTGTATTAAAAGTTTGTATCGAGGAAGAATAAACTGGGTTAATCAAAAAAGGACTTGTATCGCTGAAGTTTCTCGGAAAGAATTACCGGAAATTAACAAACGAGCAGATACGCAACAGTATGAAAAGAATATGAAGTGTTTTCATAAGTCTTAAAATTCAAAAAGCAAAAGTTTGAGAAATCACTAACTCAAATTTAAAATGCATTCACTAAATGGAAAGCAATCTTTAGCAAATTCCCTATTAAGTAAAAGAAATTTATTTATACACATGCAGTACTTATTCTGAGTGCACTGGGGGTATTTGGTGTTGAAGTACCTGTTATATACTAAAATAAAATCTAAAAAAGTTACAATTTAATGAAGAATATTAAGCCTAAAAACTGAAGTCATTTCTTTAAAGTAGGGGAAGTGATTTAGTTTACGATTAAGAAAATGAATGAAACCTTAGTCAATTGTAATTAAACTGAGAAATGAACAACTCTCATGACATGATTTATGTTGCTTGAAATTACCAGTTTCTTAACTGTCTAAACATAAAACAGCTTCCAACTATCCTTTTTAAAGCATATTATTTCTCAGAAATGTTAAAGTTAACCAGTGAACCTTTGAACTTGAGTATATAAAAATTGGTAATGTCTAAACCACTTGACGACTGGAGGTAAACTCTGTAGAGCCTTAACGTGCTCTGGTAAATCACTACAATCAAGCTAATTAAGTCTGGATTGATGTGAGCAATTTATTGAAAGCACAAGAATGTACAAAAATTAGACAAACATTTATAACTAGTGTTAGGAATGTAAAATTAAGAGCTGTGGCTTACAAAAAACACCATCATTTTGAAGATGGAATGGTTTTCATTCATGTTTAAAATCTAATATGGAACCGTTACATAAAGAATGTTTGAGATATATTACAGAAAATTTGCAAAACCTTATCTATTGAGCTCAGTAGCAATTTATCCTACAAAGATATAAATCATGGAAGGTTAAAATTCAAGTTTGATTATGATCCTTACAATTTTAGATATTTAGTGTAGTAACTTAATGCATAAAAAATGTAACTGGTTAGTATTAAATTTACACATTTACAACAGACTCCCCACCAATTAACAAAGTTCAAATAAATAGACTATTGAAAAGTGTATTAAAAACCTGAATGTGTGTTTATTGAACCTTTAAAACAAAAATTTTTAGTTAGATAATCCATTACACAAAAAATGAGTAAATGTTTAAAGGATGACTAAATGTGGTAACAGAAATCAACCCAGAGAAATTAATTTTGGTTTGGTCACCAAGCTTTTTTTTTTAAAAGAAACTCATTAGGACTGGGCAGCACCATGAAAGCTTTAAGTTATTATGACAACATAGCATGCACGAAACACTTCATGATGTAGTAACTTGTCAACACCAAGCAGAAAGCAAGTAATTTCTCAGGCTGCACCTTTTTCTAGGGCAATAGCTGAAATAGGGAAAACACAAAAAATAGTGAATATTTCAGTATACATTCAATGTAATAAGGATAAGAAAAAACATTTTACTCTACAGAAAATGGCAAAATTTCAAATTGATTATCTTGATAAAATAAATTGTCACAGATTGGATGGCAAATTATGAAGAGCCAGTTTTAACACCTTTACTTTATGTTTAGCATTTCATTTGGGTAATCAAACCATTGGTGGATGTGTATTGGAATAAAGATATTTTCCTATTTTCAAACAATTTAAATGTTCTTTGTGTGAACCTTGAATTTAATTCAAGATTATGTTAAATAGGTTTTCATTAAAAACTAATCATGGATACTCTGAGTATTCTCAATACATCCAGCTAGATCAAGACATCACAACTTTAACTTTACATACTGGCTTAAAAAAAATGTTTAAGTTTGATAAACTTTGTCTTAAAGTCAAAAGACCATTACAGGAAGAAGTTATCCCCTTTGTTAACTATAAAAGGTTTTGTAAATTAATTATTTTTAACATCTAATGGCTAAGAGGAAATAGTTTTATTCAAGATTTTATCATAAATTCGTTAATAATACAAAGTCTTATAAAACATTATTTTGATCGTCAATGCGATGTTGCAAGAAGATTAGTACGTGTTTAAGTATTTGTTTTAGGATTTAATCTTCATCTATAGGTTAAAACACTACTTACTTTCCTTGGTAGGAAGTTCATTCTTTTCCTGCGTTTCTGTGGGTCTGAGCTTAGAAGGGTCATAGGATTTGATGCCTTTCAAAAGCTCCTGTTGCTCCTTCTCCTGTTTGATTTCTGCTCAGAAGGGAAAGAATAGTCATCATCTGTCACTTCAAAATCTTACAAGTTAATCACGGAGGTTAGACAAAGCAACTCGTGGATAGTTTTAGTAAGACATTGTCCCAGATACACGGAGGTTAGACAAAGCAACTAGTGGATAGTTTTAGTAATACATCATTGTCCCAGATACACGGAGGTTAGACAAAGCAACTAGTGGATAGTTTTAGTAATACATCATTGTCCCAGATACACGAAGGTTAGACAAAGCAACTCGTGGATAGTTTTAGTAATACATCATTGTCCCAGATACACGGAGGTTAGACAAAGCAACTCGTGGATAGTTTTAGTAATACATCATTGTCCCAGATACACGGAGGCTAGACAAAGCAACTCGTGGATAGTTTTAGTAATACATCATTGTCCCAGATACACGGAGGCTAGACAAAGCAACTCGTGGATAGTTTTAGTAATACATCATTGTCCCAGATACGGATACGCATTACTATTTTAAGTTCTACCCCTCCCTACAAGAGTTAAATGCTCCCACTAGTATAGCATGTATCTTTACGTAAAAGATGCCTTTTATTTTGTCGGCGAGATTAAAAAAACTGAGAAACTAATATTTAGTATACAAAAAGGTCACAGGTGAATTAAACGGGGATAAAATCCACTAAGATTAAATTAGGCACACGTTCTAAAATGTCGCTTTGTTATTTCTGCAGTATTGCTTCTTTCATTAGGACAAATACACGCTCTTATTTTGATCCCAATACCTTATTTTGTGGGAAGTAGTTTTTTTTTTTATTTTGTGTTTGTTCGTCTTTAAACATTTTAATTAAAATTTAACACCTGCAACCAGCAGCTAGTGAACTCTTCGTTTGATATCTGAAGCTAAAGGGGGAGAAAAATAAACTACCCACTAAAACCAAATTTACACGTTTATTCGACAAATACTAACAAGTTTACATTACCTGTACAACTATACGGAACATTAACTAAAAACAGTAATACCTATTGTT